CAAAATTCAGAAGCCCAAGACAAAAGCCATAATGACCTTATTGATTTATATTTTGAAGCTTTTATTACCATAATGTGGTATGCTACAAATTGGATATTTTAACAGAAAGCTTACAATAGCATGGAATTTTCTACTACCATAGCTGTTGACACATACCAAACAATCTTATCAATTTCTGTATTTATAATGACAACAAAATGATACGTTACACAACATGTTAGTGCTTACGAAACATGGGGTACATGAGACAGATTAGCCCAAGATGAGTGAGATTTAAATAAGGGCAACCACATTTTAAAGAACCACAATGTAAAATTAAATTATTTATTAATGCTACACAAATTTGATAGTCTTAAAAAATCCTTCTTTACTATAAGACAAGTAATCATTTTTAAGTAAAAAATTTTAAAGAAATAGGATTTATCAATAATAACATTTCTGAAAGTTTGTAACCATTGATTCACATCCAACAAAACCATTGCAGAGAAGCCCATACCTTAATCTAGACATATAATATATATAAATAAAAGCCCATACCTTAATCTAGACATATAATAAATAAAAAATGTCCTAAAAATTTATATATCAATTTTTGGACTAGCAAATAATCTGAAATACATTTCTAGAAACAAGAAACTCTTTCAGCTACTCCTCTCACACTGGCTGAAAATGCTTAGATCACAGGATGGGCACGGTGGCTCACGCCTGTAATCCTGACACTTTGGGAGGCTGAGACAGGGGGATTGTTAGAGCCCAGTAGTTTGAGACCAGTCTGGGCAACATACGAAACTCCATCTCTACAAAAAAATACAAAAATTGGCCCAGTGCAGTGGTGTGCACCTGTGGTCCCAGCTACCTGGGTGACAGTGAGACACTGTCTCAAAACAAACAAACAAAAAAACCTCGGATCTTTTCTTTACTCTTTCTTTCTTCTTTCTTTTTTCCTCTTTCTTTCTTTTCCTTCCTTCCTTTCTTCTTTCTTTTTTTCCTCTTTCTTTCCCTCACCTACCCACCTACCTACCTACCTACCTACCTCCCTTCCTTCCTTCCTTCCTTCCTTCCTTCCTTCCTTCCTTCCTTCCTTCCTTCCTTCTCTCTCTCTCTCTCTCTCTTTCTTTCTTTCGGTTTTGGTTTTGGTTTGTTTTGAGACAGGATCTTGCTCTGTCACCCAGGCTTGAGTGTAGTGGTGCAATCATTGCTCACTGCAGCCTCAACCTCCTGGGCTCAAGCGATTCTCCCAAGTAGCTGGGACCACAGGCATGCACCACCATACTTTGCTATTTTTCTTTTTAATTTTTTTAGAGGTGGGAATTTGAGACCCAGGCTGGTCTCAAATGCCTGAGCTCAAGCAATCCTCCTGCCTCACGCTCCCAAATTGCTGGGATTACAGTCATGAGCCACTGTGCCCAACCTTTCAGATCTTTTCTACAACAAATATTCCAGGTAGAAATTTTGTCTTTTGATACTTTACTATTTTTTCCCACTTTATGTCTCTCTTTGTAATGTAAATATAGTGAAAAAAGCACTATTAAATGAAAAGGGCACTTTTTATTAAATCATTTCTTTAATTTTTAAAAAAGTATGAAAAATCTCTGCCAGATTATACTAAATACAAAGCTAAAACAGCATGTTAGTAAACTAACCATTGCCACGACCACTGATATTAAATGATGTGCTGAAACACTTCAATGACTTCTTAGACATTGTAAAATAAGTCTACTTTCTTCAATGAAAAAAATAATCTCGTTGAACATAACTTATAAGAAAGTTTATATTTGCTGACTAATATATACCTTAGCTCATCTTGCCATTTCAATCTGCTGTTTTGCAAACATAAACACAATGTGAACTACAGTTATAATTTTTAGCAGTTTAAGTTGGACACTTTGTTGTGAGAACATATATAAAATTAACAGAAATAAAAGTTAATAAATATAAAAATTCATCCATAATTTTAATTCCTCAACAAATCAAATTGTTTCCAATTTTTAGGGCACCTTACCATTCTTTACCTTTGAGCATGCACAGACTTAGACTTTGCCTGATGGTACAGATAAAATATTGTGTTCTGCTTTTCTTAGTTATCATTATTTCACAAACATTGTACATATTGCCAAAAGGTCTTCATAGCTATCATGAAAATAAATTAATTGAATGAGTTACCGTAACTTAATGGATTCTTAATGGAACCTCATTCTTAGGTTACCTTTCTCTCTCTCCTCCCCAACTCCTCTTTTTTGGGACTACTGTCAACCACAAATATTTTCATTTATACAGTTTTCACCTTGTTTTTAATGTTTCTCTCTTCAGATAAATTCTCTGAAGTAGAGACTTATGAACGCTTTTATGGCTCTTGTATTTCCGAAATGCTTTCTAAATATCACTACCATTAATGGCAACGTGTGTGCCTACAATTTGTACTGCAAGCTTCACCAGCACTTGGGTATTTGTATTTTTTATTGGAGAAATGAGTAGTGATTTCAGGGATGAAGTCTCTGTGATTTCATACTAATGAAATCTCATCAGCATTTTTTAATCTGCCTTTTTGTTACTGTTGTTGTTAAATGCTTTAAAATATTTGCTAATTGTATTTCCTACTACATGGATTTTCTTTGGAGATATGTGTCTTTGTGTTTATCTCAAGAAATTACATGTACTTTTGCTATACTCCATCCAGAAAATAATGCAAATATTTTTTCCAATATAAACTGTTTTACTTTGGGTTTTTTTTTTTAATAACAGATAAGTTTAATACTTTTACATCATTAAATATATTAAGTATTTTTCAATGTGATTATTTCTTCTTCTCATATCAAAGTTCATATAGTGATTCTACTAAATGTCTGGCAAAATGCAACTTTCCTTATTATTAAAAAAAATTATCCATGTAATCTATCTGGTATTTTGGCATATGTTGTGAGATGTGAGTCTAAATCACTTCTTTTTCAAATTTCCTAATACCACAACCATTTCTTAAATAGTCTTTCCCTTTCTCATTGTCTTATAATGTTATTTTCTTATATATAAAATTTTCATATATAACATGTTAAAATTTTCTATGCATTCCTAGATAGGGCACATTAGAAATGCCTGGGCACGCTGGCCAGTTGAAGATTTTGTTTTGGTTTTACTCTCATATTTGTAAATTAATGTTGAAACCATTAATATCCAGACCTTTATATCCAGAAACATAATCGGCCTCTTCACTAATTAAGTCTTCCTTTATAACCACGAGAAATAACATTTTAAAAATATGTCCAATATTATATAATAAAGGGGCAGAGTAAGACCATGCAAAAGGTAGAGGCTATGTAGTAGGACATGTATATATATCTAGGCTCAACTCCTGTGTAATCTTGTGCCAGATGCTTACAAAAGCTTTTTTCATGTATATTACCTCACTTGCTCTGTTTGATCTTTGCAATACCCTGTGAGATAATGTGTTATTATCACTACAGGTATTAAGACCCAAAGCATAAACACATCTCTTGAGTCAAAAGCACAAGCTCATTGCATACCATCATGATATATGTAAATGTAGTTGTAGACCACCTACATCGCACAATAACTTTGTCCCTGAATATTTTATAAATTTTTTGCTATAATAATTGCAATCATCTTTTCATCATATTGTCTAATTAGTTGTGCTTGCCTAATGGTATGCTATTGATTTTACTATATTTATTTCGTGTTCAACCGCTATTGAGTTCCTTATTACCTCTTTAAAATATGTTTAAATCATTCAGTTTTTTTGAGTTGCTACATTGCCAATGTCAATTCTTTGTTATAGAATCATATATTAATAACATTAACTAATTGGAAAGTAAAAAACTAAGACCAGTTATCTGTCATGATATTAAGACATATTAAAATCTTCCTGTTTAAGAAATATAAATTTTAAAAAGATTATTTAACTATTGCTAGTCAGTTTCCTTTAGACTATAGATTACATTATCTTAAGAATTTTTCATATCAGTCCTTCAAACCTCCCTTTATCTTGTCTGACAGAAGGGCTGACATTACAATGTGGCAAAAAAAAAAAAAAATAATAATAATAAAAGAATCAAAAAGAAAGCATAGGCTGGGCACGGTGGGTCACACCTGTAATCCCAGCACTTTGGGAGGCTGAGGTGGGTGGATCACCGGAGGTCAGGAGTTTGAGATCAGCCTGACCAATATGGCAAAACCCCGTCTATACTAAAAATACAAAAAAAACCAAAAAAATACAAAAAATAAAATAAAATAATAAAATAATTAGCTAGGTGTGGTGATATGCACCTGCAGTCCCAGCTACTCTGGTGGCTGAGACAGGAGAATCACTTGAACTTGGGAGGAGGGGGTTGGCGTGAGCCGAGTTCACGCCACTGCACCCCAGCCTGGGCGACAGAGCGAGGCTCCATCTAAAAAAAAAACTTAAAAATACAATAAATAAAGCATAGGTTTTTTTTTCTTGTTGGGCTTTAAATACTGGAGAAGAGAGACTAGAGGAATTACTAGGAAAGAGCCATTAGACTGCACACACTTGCACATTTGGGAGAGACTTGCTGCTTTCACATTTCTTCTTAATCCCTGGCTGCCTAAACTCCTTCTCATCATAATCTAGACTCTCCATTCCTTAATAATGCCTTTTAAAATGTTTTCTCCCAGAACATCATTTCAATTATTGAAAGGATACTTTTCTTGAAACTGGATTTATTCTTTGTCTTCCCCCATCTATTCCCAGAGTATTAGGTGTTTACTTGGAAAAGTATTATTAATGAAATGTGATCTTTAAATTCAATCAGTTAATTAACACAGTCAAATAATCCACTGCAAAAAGTATTCTAAATAAAGGAAGCTACTGAGTCCCCTGAAAAATATTTCATTTTTGGGTAAATGTTTTTGTATTTGGTTGATGGGAAATATATATATAGCTAGCATTAAAGGTAAAAATAAAAATGACACAATTAGTTTTGCTATAGAACCAGACAATTAACTTCAGTTCTCATTTCAGTACTCACGGGTAAAATGACTAGAAGTGGATGGATTGACACTGTCCCCACTGTCAGCACTTTCACTGCTGGAAACTTCATCATCCGATTCCCTCACAGAGGAGCAGGGTGAGGAGCCGTCAACTTCTTCAAACTTCCTCTTTAAAATTCCACTCATAGCTGCAGCGCTGTCACATGTACCTGTAACAGGAACGAGAGCAACAGAGCATTGAAATATTTGACCGCTGAACGTGTAGCCAAGGTCTCCAGAGTCATTTTTATGTGGCTTTTTATGCATGAGCTGAGCTATAGCTTTCCCTTGAAAGGATCTTTAGCAGATTTTTTTTTCTATTTTCAAATTAACGAAAATAAGATTAAATTAAATATCAGTATTTAACCATTTGATTACCAAAAGGTTTTTGTATTTTGAGACATAGTTCATTTTAATGTAACATCATTATTTCTTTTTATTGGCAAATTGAGAAAATCCATCTGAGTCCAAGAAAATCTATAAAGAAAAATAATGCCAATGTCTCCACAAGTCCTTGATTACAACATTATATGAAATTCAGCTGGAAGGAACACAAAAAAGTATGCACGACCTTTGTACTGAAGTTCTAAAATTCAAGAAACCTAATTAACTGAGCACAATGAAGCATATAAAAACAGTTCTAAATTTTAGGTAGTTTCCATTTCAGTATTGCAATGGGTGACATACGTCCCCATGCTACCTGCTTGCTGAAGCCCTTGCCACTTTTTTTTTTTTTTTTTTTTTTTTTTTTTTTTTTTAGAGGGAGTCTCGGTCTGTCGCCCAGGCTGGAGTGCAGTGGCCGGATCTCAGCTCACTGCAAGCTCTGCCTCTCGGGTTTACGCCATTCTCCTGCCTCAGCCTCCTGAGTAGCTGGGACTACAGGCGTCCGCCACCTTGCCCGGCTAGTTTTTTTTTTTTTTGTATTTTTTAGTAGAGACGGGGTTTCACTGTGTTAGCCAGGATGGTCTCGATCTCCTGACCTCATGATCCGCCCGTCTCGGCCTCCCAAAGTGCTGGGATTACAGGCTTGAGCCACCGCATCCGGCCACCCTTGCCACTTTTTCAGAAACTCCCTAAAGCTATTTACCTGGGAGATAGCAATAATTGAATTGAAAGGCCTATGGGTAGAGCATGGATATGGTTTCTCCTAAATTATTTATCTTGGGTCAATGGACTTTCCCCTTTCCCTGGGCTGACCTTTCTCCACCTTCTTCATTTTACCATAAACTGGCACAGTCAAGTAAGGAGCACAAACTTTCTTTGCAGAAGTAAAGATATTTTAGGGTATAAACATTTTATAAATTATCTTAGATATATGTATATGATCTTACATTGCTAAATTACATTAACTTAACTGAAAGTACAGTATTTAACTGAAAGGTTAAATATCCATTATCCAAAATGCTTGGGATAAGAAGCGTTCTGAATTTTGAACTTTTCTGGATTTTGAAATATTTGCATCTATATAATGAGGTACCTTGGGGAAGGTACCCAAACCTAAAGAAAAAATTCGTTTATGTATATCTTATTCATATAAGCTGAAGGCAACTCCCTACAGTATCTTTGATAATTTTGTGAACAAAACAAAGTTTTGACCTCACCCATCAGATGAGGTCAGGTATGAAAATTTTCACTTGTGGCATCATGTAGGTGCTCAAAAAGTTTTGAATTTAGAGCATTTTAGATTTCAGATTTTCAGATTAGGGATGTCCAACCTTTATTAATATGGCAATTTCATGCATTCTATCTTCCACTTAATTTATTTCACTTGATTCTAACTCACATCTGAGGTATTGAAGACATTGTCTCCTTTTTCTGCCAGAGTATAGTCAGTCCTATATATCAGGTGGAAGAAAGACCCTTAATACTATTCTGAGACCCCCTTAGTTACACTGTCACTGTACTGCTCTTGGAAATCTCTGAAGTCACTTCTGTGCAGATCACAGAGCAAGCAGCGAGTTCAGATTCCCTGAGCTGGGCCAGCTCTCCAAGGAAGGTCAAAGTCAGTATTTTGCAAAGTGTACTACCTGAATGAGCAGCAGTAGCATTACCTGGGAGTGAGATGGTTAGAAATGGAAATTCTCAGCTCCCATCCCAGATCTACAAATCGGAAATACCCAGGAAGTAGGGCCCAGCACTCTTTATTTTATGAAACCCCAAACTGGGTGATTTTGCAGCACACTCAAAATTGAGGATCAATTGTGTAATTTAGTTTCCTTTTCAACCTCTTCATTCATAAACATGGCTCTTTCTTGGATGTGGCCACACACCAGCCCTAGATAGTCACATAAACCAGCACTGAATTCCTAGTCAAAAATCTCTTCTTTGACCTTTCCTGGTGCAATTCCTAGTAAAATTTAGTACAGAATTTATATTAGTCTGTTCTCATGCTGCTATGAAGAAACACCCAAGACTGGGTAATTTATAAAGAAATGAGGTTTAATTGACTCACAGTTACACATGGCTGGGGAAGCCTCAAGAAACTTATAATCATGGCAGAAGGGGAAGCAAACACATTCTTCTTCACATGGCAGAAGAGAGAATTTCCAAGTAAAAGGGAAAAAACCTCTTATAAAACCATTAGAGAACTCGTGAGAACTCACTGTCAGGAGAACAGCATGAGGGTAACCGCCCCCATGATTCAATTACCCCCCATCACATCCCTCCCATGACATGCGGGGATTATGGGAACTACAATTCAAGATGAGATTTGGTTGGGGATACAGCCAAACAATCATTCTGCCTGTGACGCCTCCCAAATCTCATGTCCTCACATTTCAAAACACAATCATGGCTTTCCAACAACCCCCTAAAATCTTAGCTCATTCCAACATTAACCCAAAAGTCGAAGTCCAAAATCTCATCTGAGGCAAGGCAAGTTCCTTCTGCTTATAAGGCTGTAAAATCAAAAGCAAGTTAATCACTTTGTAGATACAATGGGGGTACAGGCATTGGGTAAATGCACCTGTTCCAAATAGGAGAAATTGGCCAAAACAAAGGGGCTACAGGCCCGTCCAAGTCCGAAATCCAACAAGGCAGTACTTAAATCATAAAATCCAAAATACAGTAGGGTAGCCATGAAACCTTAACGTTCCAAAATGATCTCATTTGACTTCATGTCTCACATCCAGGGCATGCTAATGCAAGAGGTGGTCTCCCACAGCGTTGGGCAGCTCCGCCCCTGTGGCTTTGCAGGCTACAGTTCCCCTCCTGACTGCTTTTATGGGCTGACATTGAGTGTCTGTGGCTTTTCCAGGTGCATGGTGTAAGCTGTCAGTGGATCTTCCATTTTGGGGTCTGGAGGACAGCAGCCCTCTTCTCACAGTTCCACTAGGCAGTGCCCCAGTGGGGACTCTGTGTGGGGGCTCCAACCCCAAACTTCCCTTCTGCACTGCCATAACAGAGGTTATTCAGGAGGGCTTCGTCCCAGCAACAGACTTCTGCCTGTACATAGAGGTATTTCCATACATTCTGTGAACCCTAGGCAGAGGTTCCCAAGCCTCAGTTCTTGACTTCTGGGCACCCACGGGCTCAACACCATGTGGAAGCCACCACAGCTTTGAGCTTGCACCCTCTGAAATAATGGCCTGAACTGTACTTTGGCCCCTTTTAGCCAAGGCTGGAGCTGAAGCAGCTGGGACACAGGTGACCATGTTCCCAGGCTGCACAGAGCAAGGGGTCCCTGGGCCCACCTCAGGAAACCATTTTTTCCTCCTAGGCCTCTGGGCTTGTGATGGGAGGAGCTTCCGTAAAGATCTCTGACATGCCCTGGAGACATTCTCCTCATTGTCTTGGTGATTAACATTCAGCTCCTCATTACTTATGCAAATTTCTGCACTGGGCTTGAATTTCTCCCCAGTAAATGGGTTTTTCCTTTCTATCACATCATCAGGCTTCAAATTTTCCAAACTTTGTGCTCTGCTTCCTTTTGAATGCTTTTGCCACTCAGAAATTTCTTCTGCCAGGTATCCTAAATCATCTCTCTCAATTTCAAAGTTCTACATATCTCTGGGGCAGTGATAAAATGCTGCCAGTCTCTTTGCATAGCAAGAGTGACCTTTACTCCAGTTCCCAACAAGTTCCCCATCTCCATCAGAGTCCTCCTCAGGCTGGGCTTCATGGTTCATATCACTATCAGCCTTTCGGTCAAAGTGTTCAACAAGTCTCTAGGAAGTTCCAAACTTTCCCATATCTTCCTGTCTTCTGAGCCCTCCAAGTCTCTAGGAAGTTCCAAACTTTCTCACATTTTCTTATCTTCTTCTGAGCCCTCCAAACTGCTACAACTCTGCCTGTTACCCAGCTCCAAAGTCACTTCTACAGTTTCGAGATCTTTATAGCAGCACCCCACTCCCTGTGGTACCAATTTACTGTATTAGTCCAGTCGCATGCTACTATGAAGAAACACCTGAGACTGGATAATTTATAAAGAAAAGAGGTTTAATTGATTCACAGGTCCACATGGCTGGGCAGGCCTCTGGAAACTTACAATTATGGCAGAAGATGAAGCAAACACGTACTTATTCACAGGGCCGCAGAAGAGAAAAGTGCCAAATAAAGGGGAAAAGCCCCTTATAAAATCATCAGATCTCATGATAACTCCCTCACTATCACAAGAACAGCATTAAGTTAACTGTCCCCATGATTCAATTACCTCCCACTGGGTCCCTCCCATGACATGTGGGGATTATGGGAACTACAATTCAAGATGAGATTTGGGTGGGAACACATCCAAACTATATCAGTGTTGGATGTTTCATAAGTATTTATTACTAATTTCAACTCATTTCATTCATCTAAGCATGCATTTAGTAACTACTGTATATGTGTTTGACTCCTTGAGTGGAATAGGGGATACAAAAGAAAGTTAGATGGTTACCTGCCCTCAAGAAGCAAACATTCACTATGCTGGGCTCCATCAAACCAAGAATACTCTCAAATTCATGTTCTACTCAGTTGCTTTATTAATCCATGTCTTTCTGCATAAATGTTATATTAACAATGGAGATAACTGACAGCAATAGGAAGATACATCACTGTCCACTCTTTTGAAAATAAAATCTCTATTTCTACTCAGATTTTACCACTATTCAGATTAGCATATTATAGCATATTATTTTCTCCATTTTAAAGAGTGTGAAATGCATAAAATGTTCATGCATATCTGAGTAGG